AGAGAGAGAGAGAGAGAGAGAGAGAGAGAGAGAGAGAGAGAGAGAGAGAGAGAGAGAGAGAGAGAGAGAGAGAGAGAGAGAGAAGGGAGAGAAGCCATAGCAACCACCTGGTTGGCATCCGTTGTGTGTGTGTGTGCGGCAGAGCCACTGGAGACAAACATTCTTGTATATCGATAATAATATTGGAGACGACATCTTCAAGTGTTGACTGTATCTTGATTTGGCTTTTCACTTGTGAACTCTCCAGTGAATGTTCATTGATGTATGTGAGATTGAGCTTGACGAGTACTTGGCTCATCTCAGTGGTATCAGAGCTGGTTCCCACTGCATTCGCTCAGAGTTGAAGCGCTGGCAAGAAAGAAGGCCGACGGGCAAAAAATAAAATAAAATAGATCGGGGTTTAACTGGAAGTTGAGGGCCGAAGAAGAAGGGGCATAGCAAGGAGCAACAGCAGCACGTACCTGCGATCGAGGAGCGTCATCGAGGGAACGTTCAAGGAGTGAAGTGCGTCTTTGCCCTGGTCCTGTCATTTATGCAATTTGAATTTTGTTGTGAATGGAACCTTCCTACGTACTTTCCTGGTGACCTCTGCTGCAATTAGGTTTTCTGTTGACATCATCGGATCGTACTTTGTCTCCTTGCTGTTTTCGAGTCTGCAAGTCTGTGAATGCATGGTCTAGGTCTACGGTAGCAACTCGGCAGCTGGATGTATCCCCGAACCTAGTAAGGAGCACGGGCAACGAGCGGCGGGTGCTCGAAAAACAACCCCGCTATGCCCAATGATCGGTACTGACCGGCGTGCAACCGAATGGGATGCAGTAAGGAGTTGTAGAGGGCAGTAGGGTTCGCCAGCTGTGTAATGCACAGGCAAAGTAGGGGTGAGACGTAAGGTCCACCAGTTGAGGACGCCAGGGAGATCCCCCAAGGACCGGTACTGACTGACTGGCTAGTCGCTGGTGGTAGTTGTACCCGAAAACCGCTGCAATCAGTGAGGAACCAGTCTAAGTCTTGAGAGTGATCCTTCATATCAGTGGGCACAAAATCCTATTTGTGTCGTTAAATAATTCCTGAGGTTTGTGCTGGCTGACCTTAAACTGTCAGTTGCCCACTGGATGTTAGGAGAACTGTAGTAACAGAAGTGGGAAGTGAATTAGTTTTTCAGACCCTGATTTAGATTAAGATTAGTATACGTGTTGACTTCAGGTGTAGGTCTAAGTGGTGAGGAGGCAGAGTCAACTTACCTGTGCCGACCATCACCATGGATAACTACCCGATGTTTCGCTTCTTGGCCCTATCCGCGATATGGGGCCCCCTCCTCCGTTTTCTCTTTCCACCCGGATTCGCCCGGACCTTTGACATGCATGTGGTGAGTTGGTCCGGAGCATCCACACAGCCATACTCCGCTGAACAGCAGGCCGAGATCGATAGAAGGCTGGCGGAGAAGAAGAAGGAGGAGGAGAAAAAGTAGGAAAAGAGGAAGAAGAAAGAGGAGGAAAAAGAGAGGTTGGAAAAAAAGAGAAGGGAATTGGAGGAGAGGTTGGCAAAAAAGAGAAGGGAATTGGAGGAGAAGCTAAAAACACTGGAAAAACAGAAACAGCAGGTTGAAGTGGTAGAAGAAGAAGAAGGAAAAGAGAAGGTGAGGCTTGACAACCCCAGGCATAGGGTTGGAGGAGGTATGCGAACCGAAACGGGAGAGTCCAGTCAGCTGCATTTCTACCCAGTTGACACCCAGACATGAATGGAGAAGTTTGGGTTCAGGAAGGATGAGCGGGCAGAAGAGTCGGAGGCTGAGAGGGCCAAACTCACAGCTAAGTTGGAGGCGGCAGACGACAACGCAAAGAGGGAACTACTGATGCAGGAGAGGGAACATGAATTGCATCAGCGGCTCCTGATAAAGAAAAGGACTGCGCTGGATGAGAAGAGGAGATTGAAACCTGAAGGGGAAGACAGTGAGCGCCAGCTGAAGGAACAGAAAGGCTGTGAGGGTGAGTGGAAAGACGACCGTACCCTCATGATTAACGCCCTGCTACATACTAACCAGGAACTCGCTGCCATAAACAAGTCTGTCACCCGACTTGAACAGCACAATCACGAGTTCAAAGGCACTTGGAACAACTACGCAAGTGCCGCCGCCCACCGAGTAGATGAGTGTGTTGGGGGTTATGCACAGCAATATGAAAGCATCTTCAACTCAAAGCTAGTGGATACTGTCGCTGCAGTTAAGAAGGGTGGCGATGGTGGAGGTGGAGATGGTGGAGATGGTGGAGATGACGGCGACAGAGGCCCGAAGGAGGAGGGGGACGGAAAGGTAGATCCTTATCAGCCGGAAGGGGGAGAAAGGAGAGAGAAGATGAAAGTGAAGCTTCCCTGGACGTATAACGGGAAGAAGGAAGAGAACTTTTACCACTGGGAGGCGCATATGGGCACATATCTGTAAATGATTCTGTATGGACAGTTGATTCCATATTGGGACCGTGTCTTGATGGCGAGCTCCCATGAATGTGCTGACAGTGTGCCGCCACTATCGCCGCCTCCACCTCCACCMCCCCCACCACCCCCACCACTACAACCACCATCACCACTACCACCACCACCATCACAACCACCTCCGCTGCCGACATCTACTACTACAGCATCCCCTCTGTCATCTGCCTCCTCTTCTTCTTCCTCGTCCTCCTCCTCCTCCACCTCGCATGCCTCCCCTTCTTCATCGAACGCATCCTCAGCACATTCATGGTCAGCCGTCACAAAGGCCCCGTCGGCAAAGACATCCAGCGTCACACCGCCGACATCTTCTACTACATCATCCCCTCAGTCATTTGCCTCCTCCTCCTCCTCCTCCTCCTCCTCCACCTCACATGCCTCCCCTTCTTCATCGACCTCATCATCAGCACATTCATGGTCAGCCGTCATGACGGCCCCGTCGACAGAGACGTCCAGCGTCGGATCGATGTTACAGATGCCTGTTCAGCAGAGATGCCTCCAAGATACCGGCCTCGTCTGTCCTGGAACAGCTTGAATACCACACCCCCTGCAGGGCTTAGAGATCTGCTCCAGCGACATGCTGGCAACCGTACAGAACGACATCAGGAGTATTACACATCGAGTCCGATGCCCGCAATGTGGCGATGATTTCTTCAGCGCTGCAGGCCTGCATGTGCACCAATGACACGAGGTGCAGCTACCCGCTCAGCATTTGCGCAATTAGCAGCCATTTTGAGCGCAAGTGCGACTGATCAACCTCCGCTTCCCGCATCTGACCCATCTATTCCTCATCCACCTGACCCTGCATGCTCCTCTGCCTCAAATGATAATGCTCCACCTTCTAATCACCTGATAGAGCCTCCGATTCGAGAAGATCTCTCTCCGGAGCGCATTGGCCAGGATGAAGGTTTTTTACGGGCGTGGGTGGGGGTCAGGATGGGTCAGGATGAAGGCTTTTTGAGTGACGGGCGGGTTGGGTGTGGGAGGAAATTTTCAAAAAAACACTTGGGTGGGTTGGGTACCTTCGAGATTTTTTTTTTTTTTTTTTTTTGAGGGCCGGCTGTACTCAAAATTTTAAAAAATACAGGTGGGTTGAGTGAAGCACCAATTCAAAAACAAAATGCTCATCTCTGATCTCCGCCTGCCGTGCAATCTGGAGAATTGGATGAACCTTTCCCTGCCGCACAACCTGCAGAATCGGATGATGTCATAGTGCTACAGCAAGGTCGCTGTGCATACTATGCTATTAATGTGTGTCTCCTTGCCTACAATTGCAACCCTTATACTGTTTCTGATTTTGCGAAGTTGTCCGCTGGATAGAAGAAGACCACCGTGCCGTCTGCCCGGAGGACGACAGTTATGCGCCTGGCGTGAACATAGAAGCCTGTCTATGGCATTTATGGGTAGGCGACTACAACTCCAGCCTGCTCCGCAAAATCACGGGCCAGGCATGGATCCTAATATTCGGGCAAACATCTTACATCGTCCAGGTTATTTCATTGCTGTTACCTTTGTTGATAACTCATGGACCCTATGGAACAATAGCGGTAGGGTGCATGCAGCGGGAAATATCAACTCATTCTATCACCAAGCAGTAGAACATCACTCGGTCTGGCTCATCCATCCGGAACAGTATGACGGTGAGCACTCGCAAGCACTACTGCCTCCGGAGAGCAATCCGGCTGAACCTCCTCCTTCCCCTGCGCATGCGGTCAGGCAGCAACCCCTCCCTGTGTGGATCGGACAGATTCTACCACGAACAGTGAAGGGACCTCTCCAGGAGATGGAGATTGTGTCCTCCTCCCATTGTGTCTTCGTGCAGGTACAGTCCGGTTAGCATGTGCACGGCATAGCCTCTGCTCCGAACACTATGAAGGGATGGTCGATGCCAGCCTCTGCCACGGAAACTGCGATCCTTTGTCTTGTGCTCACCCCACCCAACCCTTGATTACTTGCCTAGGCCTTGATCTGCCATGCTTAAATAATTGCGCACATCAGCCTTCTTTGCTGATGACATGTCAGCAACATGCCATGTGTCATCAATTTTTCCAGGAAGCTGTCATAGAAAGTATGTGTCTCTACTGTGTGGACTATCCCCCAGATCCTCTCTCCTGGCATGTCCCACATGCAGTGTTGGTCATACTGACTCATACACCTACTGCAACCGCAGTTAAAATTCCTTCTTCCTTTCCTGATGCAAGGATCAGGGTCCTCGGTAGGCCTATGGGGCCCTGTCTGCAGCCTTACCCGCCCTAAGTGAAGGCGGAGGTGCCCGCCCTAAGTGAAGGCGGGCCTGGCTTTTTGCAAAAGGCCTTCTACTGTCAATTTCGTATTTGGGGTTCAGGCAGTTGCGACGCGCCAGTTGGTTGAAAGAAACACAGGCCGAGCAACAAGGACATTTCCACGGCCTACCGGGCCTTTCCAAAGAATGCAGGCCCTGGCCGTGATTCGCAGCCTCATACAGAGACAGTTGGGCGCCCAACCGAACGAGGCCCAGCAGCCCAGTAGCTGCTGCATCCAGGCAGCCTCCTGGGGCCTTCCGGAAGCTTCTGGGCCCAGGCCAAGGCAGCCAGGCTGCGTGARCAGGCCAACTCTTTCCATAAAGGAAAGAGCTCGGCCCTGGCTGCCTCATTCAGGCACTCGCATGCTGGGCGGCAGCGCTGCTCGAGCTAATGCTCGTAGGCTGCTGCTAGCGCTGGGASGCGAGGTRCAGCAYGTGCGGTCGTGCAGAGGAGGAGGGCGCTGCTGAGGGCAGCGCCATAGCCCAGCCACCATAGCTGGTGGGCTTGGACTACAGTGAAGCGCAGGGGTGGTCTTCGGGTGACAGAGAGGACAGGAGTGGGTGAAGTCAGGGGATAGGTGAAGGATGATGATGATGATGATGATGTGAGGGCACGTACCTTGTATTGGCGATGGTCTGCATGGCGGCATCTTCAAGTACTTCGGGCTGCTGCTGATGTCAACAGTTGCATTGTCTTTTTGTAGTCTGTAGTAGCTGTGAAGGAGTCGGCTGGGAGCTGAGCCCCAAGTGTGAGTGTAAGGGAACTGGACTCTTTTGTTGAGAGGAGAGAGTGTGCTCTCCACGGACATTGGTTTTTCAGTGTCAGTGCTACGAAACTCCATTGGTGTATTATTGGTGCAATGCTGCTATCTGGACACGGTGTGACTATTTGGCTTGCAATGTGATGGTGTGATTTGGGATTGTCATCTCGCTGTTGCTTATTTTCCTTGCA